AAAAAATCGAAAGAAAGTATTTCGATCTGAAACTTTTCCCACATACAGGTCTATTTGTGTGTAAAATACTGTGAAACTTTAAGCTCAAAATAATGTTTTTTTCATTAGACATTGAAGTCTTAAAAACTGCTCATTTTCTGCAAAAAATGCTATCATTTTCAGATTCTAGAATTTTAAAATCTGAAGAAAGACGCATTCTTTTGAGCTCAAATTTTCAAAATATTCTATTCACAAACAGACTTGTATGTCAGCAAAGTTCCAGGTCGAATACCTTCTTTCAATTTTGAGTGCATGCCATGTAGACATGTGCACGACTGATTCTGATCCCGGTATTAGAATTGGAAATCTCTCTATAGCCTAGAAGCATAATAAAACTTCGAATACTACATTTTGCAGAGAAATGCTTTCTCTACAATATAAGGCTAACGTGAACACTGTGATTATCACAGCCGGAGAAAATGGTGTCAGATTCGATCGAGATCACCACCGGGACTAGTTTGATCCCAGTCATTATACTTGCTAAATTATTTCATAATGAGAATCTGTAAAATATTTTAAAACATACAGACAGAAAGAAACAAATGTCTCTACACAATGCATTGTTACAGAATAATTTAAGAATACAGCTGATGAAGTAGCAGGCCAATGTTTGACTGAGACCAGAATTTTTTTTTGGTCCCGTGCACATCTCTAATTATTATTTCAAAAACTTACTAGATTAATAATATCGATTTTTTCGCTAATATTCATCATTATATTATTTTCATCATTTCTACGAAATAACTCATTTTTTGATTGTTTGTTTAAACTAATAACAAAAGATGATGTTCGAGTAAAGATCATTAATTTTCTTGTCATATTAATATTATTGTTTCGTTGCTCGACATTATCATTCATTGGTAATAATTCATTATTTTCAGTAGTTGATATTGGAGTAGAAATTAATTGATAAAGAAAATTTTCAATATTAAAATGTTCTTGTTGATAAAAATAATTTTGACATAATAATCGACTAAAACTTTCTTCAAATGTTGGCAATTTAAATATCATTGATTCTGGTGAAGCTAATTGTAAAAGTTTTGAAATAAAAGCAAAAAGATAACATTGTTTTTTATCATTGATATCTTTTTCAATAAATGATTTTGATTGAAATGTTAATTGATTATAATTTTCATGAATATTTGATAAATAAGGTTCATTTTGAGCATTTCTTTTAATAAATGATAAAAGACATGAATACAATGTTTCATCATGATATCCATAAAAATATTCTTTTCCAAAATGATCAATAAATGATCGAACTTTTGTTTCAATAGTTTTCATAAGTTTTTGATCTTCCATAGGAATTTCTCGTAATTGAATTAAATAAAGATCTGATATACTAAAAGAATATTTTTGAAAACGACTTAAAAATGGTGCTGGAATATCTGTAAATTCACTTCGTTTTATATGAACAATACATTGAAAATCTTCATGTACAATAACATCGACTGTTTTTGGGCCAATAGCTACTTTCGAAAAGATTTTTCTGCTTTCTTCAGTTGCCATAATTGAAAAATTTTGATTGAAAACATCATAGAGTGAACCATGAATACGACCTGTATTTATCATTAATATTGTTTTACCTGTTTCCATACATAATTTAATATTTGATAAGATTTCAACATTTCGTAATTCATTATCGACATCATCTGGAAAATCAGACATACGAAAAACTGTTGTTTGACTTGGATCAGAATTGAGAATACCCAATTGAAAAAGAAGACGAACAGCACTTTCATCTTCAGATTCATCAATAACTAATTTATATCTACCATAGAGACGACGACGTATTGGATCTAATTTCATTGAACTACGTAAAATTGTTGGAACATTACGTTGATTGTGTTGTTTTTCAGTAATTAATGAACAGAAATCAGGACATTGTTCGCCAACAGCTGTAGCAAAAGTATTGACTAACTTATCAAATTCTTCACTGCGAACTCCATTAAAATTATCTTCTAATGCTCTTAATAAACTACATGGTGTTATTTCTCCGATACTCGTATGTTCAATTTCATTTAAATTCATTAATTCAAATCGTAATTCTCTTAACATATAAATAAAATCACGATCATGAAATATATGAGGAATATCTGGTGAACGAAGAATTTTTCGATAGCCTTGACATAAACCATAAATAATCTTGTCAAGACGATTATATTTATTTTCTTGTCGTTGTTCTAATTGTAAACCCAAACAACCATAGGCTAAAACTTTTTGATCTTCTTCAGATGGTAATGAACGATAAATACGTATCATTCGATTAGCATTAGCTGCATCAAATGCTTTATTAGCAACGGCTACAAATGCTACTTTACAGTCATCTAAATAAGGATGTAAAACTTTTAAAACCATTTTCTTTTCATCAGGTAATGAAGCTTCATCTAAGAAAACAACCTAAAAACAAAGAATTTTAATAGAATAAAATAAATCAACTGTTTTTTTTGTTGATAACATACACATCGTGTATTCATGCGGTTTTGTTCATACTGTTGTTCACGTTTGATAGCACGTTCAAATACGAAAGCAATATCTTCTGAACAGCTGTATTTTGATCCAAGACAAAAGAATGGATCAATAGCTGGAAGACGTTTACAAAATGGTTTTGTTGATAATTGTGCACCTTGAAGATTTTGAAGAACAATTTGAAAAGATAATGTTTTAGATTGTCCTTTTAGAAAGAAAAACATACAGATTTTTTCAAATCAGATTAAAATAAATTATATTTACCAGGAACACCAATGATACATAGAGCCGTACGTGTAACAATACTAACCACAATAGCAAAGATATGTTCTCGAACCTAAAGAAAATCAATTAATAATCGAAGAAAAGAAAAGTTGAACACATACAGCTTGATTAATTGCTACTCCTTGTGGAATAACAAAATTATTATTATTTACAAATCGTTCGAGTTCATCTTGAACGACTTGATCAAAATCTGGTATTGCTTCACGAAGAAGTTCAGCTAATTGTTCTCGTGATGGTGTTTTTGTATCATTACGTTGTAAATTATCTTCTTTTGTTGGAAGACGAAAATAATAGATTAATGCGATTGATAAAGCAATACATCGAATAGGATTAGGAGTATAAGATTTTTGATCAAATTTAAGTTCATCATCATATCGTAAAGTCCAAAAGAAATCGATTAAACTAAAACATCGTTGGATTTCTCGTTGTGAAACAGAATTATGGCCTATATGAAAAAATAAAAATGCAAAAACACAAATCTTATAAACTTCTTAAAAAATTACCAAGATATTTTTCACAAAATTCTTGTGCTCTCAAGATTGAATTAGCCAATGTACCTTGAACATAATCTTCTAATGGCATTGTTTTACCGCTCTTTGCTGATGAAGTAACTTGAAACATGGCTATTTTTCGAACAATATAATCAGCTAATGTTCGAGATTCTAAAGCTCCATAGGAAACTTTTAAATCTTTTAATGATTGAGGTAAATCATGAACAATATAATTACTACGATGAACTTGTTCTATATTTTCTTCTATTTTTACAAACGGATTAATAGCAGCAGTAAAGAAAATATTTTTCGGTATACTTGTACCGTGTAATGTTCCATCCATGAACATTTCTTTGAATAGACCAAGGCATGAAGCTGTATTGACTTCATCAAAGAAAACAACAATTTCTATATCTGGTAATTCTCGAGCTAATTGAGATATTGGAGACATAAATTCAACTAATTGTTCTTCAGTAACACCAGGATGCAAAAGAAGACGATAGAATAAAGGCTTAATTTGACAATTAAATAAATATTCTTTGAATATTGCAATAGATGTTTCAGCACTAGGTGAATTAACTTCTTGAAGTAAATCTGTTAGTCGAGAACTAGTACCAATCAATGGATACTTGACTAATTCATCAGTTACAAAATCATGTAAACTTTGAATCAAGTTTGCTATGGAAGCTGTAGCATTTTCTGTTGAAACATATAGAATCGTTGTCCAAATATGATATAAAATAGTTGTCTTAAATTGTTCATTTTTTAGAGTTTGTTTGATTTCTTTTAATAGAACATCATCAATCGGTCCAGCATGTTGTACTTGTTGTGCTGCTGCAGGTAGAATTGGTATTTGCACTCTTCGTTGATTAAGAATTTCAGCTTCATCTTCATCACCATTTTCTAAACCTAAAACTTTTGGTCGAATTCGTTGAAGAAATGCACTTAAAACATTTGCTTGGTTTTCTATGTTTGTTTCAATAATAGTTAGAAGAAATTGATTTGAGTGTTCTCTGATTTTTGGAATAAAATTTCCTTGATGAGGATCACTTGTTATCTTTGAATTTAATAACAATGAATAGAATTTTAAAAGAAATGTTTTTCCTACACCAGTATCACCTTCAATAATTAAAGCTAATTTTGTTAATTTTCTTTCATGTACATGAAAAAGTTTATAAGCAAAATTTTCTGTTAAAATAAATTTTGTTTCGTGAACAATTTTCATAAATGTTTCATATTTAATATCAATCAACCATGCCAAACATTCAGCATAGTAATCTTTACCTTGATAATCGACGGATTTTAATGGATCGCTGTTACCAAAAAGACTTTTTAAATCAGTTGAAACATGATTCCAATCACCATGTAATAAATGTAAAGAAAATCCAGGATCATAAACCAGATAAACACGAGGATAATTAGTATCTTGAAAGTTAATTTTTGTTAAAGATTTTGCTTCATTGATCATTTGTTTTATAGCAATACTACCTAATCGTTGAATATTTTGATTCCAACAATAATAATGTCCTTCAAAAAAACGTACACGACGATATAAAAATTTCGTAAATGAAAGTTCATAGATTTTATTTCTTGGTAATTCTGGAGCATATTTTTCTATACAGTTATAAATATATCTTCGACATTCATCAGTATTAGTTATTGGTTCAAAACTAACCGGTATTTCATGACCAGTGTTTGCCATTGTAACCATACGATCAATTGTTTGATCTTGAAATGCTTTTAAAAATCGAGCTACAAGTTCTTCTTCTTTATTAATAGATAATTGATAATTTTCATCAGTGACTTCTTCTATTGTTGATGGAGAAATAATGGAAAGAATTGGTAAAATTTGATTGTAATTTTCTTGAACATTTACACCCAAAACATCGGAATAAGGAACTTCAATAATAAATTTCCATGCTTGAGTATGCGGTAAAGAAAATATGAGACCACTAGTTGGATCATTGAGACATCCACAAATAAGAAGAGAAAATAATGTTCGATTTAAAGCTTCAAATGGTGCATGAACAGATATATTGAAAAAGATCGATGGATTATTGTTGGTCATTTTTGAATCAAACAAAAGAAATGAACTAATTAATAATGAAACATTTAATTTATCATTGATACTAAAGCATGATGTATGATCATCTTTAACTTCATTATTGATACGATGAGTTTTACCTGAAATAAAAAATAAAAAGAATCTTTCTTCTTTTTTTAAACAAAGAAAACTATTTACTTACCAATGCCAGCTTTACCATAGATAATTTGAATTTCTGCTGGTTTAATATCACGTTCATTGAATAGATTCATTAGATGTTTACAACTTTGTTGAGAATTTTTATATTCGGCTGGTAGTTTAAATTCTCGTAGACCTTTTCGAGTAGTTGTTAATTCACGTGAAAAATAAAATACTCGTCCGTGTTTAATTCGTTCACGTGTTAATGAATCTTGTTCCTTTAAAAGTATTTCGCGGAGACGATGATGCATCTTATCAATATCCATAATAACAAAAGTAAGAGAAGGAAATGCTTGTATGCGAGAAAAAAATAAATGAATATCTTCTTCAGTCGTATTCGAACACCAAAGAATTTGATACGAAGATGGTAACTGATTTTTAAAAACATTCAAAAGAATACAGCAAATAGTCAAATCGAAATCATTCGAAAACGAGATTTGATTTGGATTCGATACAGGACGATTAATATTGACTATAAATTGCTCATTTTCATCATGTATTTCTTCCTGCGGAAATATTTTTCCACCATGTTCAAGAATATCTTTAAGAAATGTTGTTAATTTTCTTAAACATACATCAGTATTTGATCCGGCGTCGATATTATGTCTTTGATAAAGCTCAGCAAGATGATCTGTTGTTAAATTTACATGTGGAATTCTCAATGAACGAAAATAATGTTCAAGACAACGTATAGTTAATATTTTTTCTTCTTCATTTTGATTTTTAAAATTTTTAAATTCAAATAATTTTTTCAAAAAACGATTTCGATTTGAATTCTCTGCATTTGATGATCGAAGTAGAATAATTATAATCATTATTTCACGATTAGAAAATAATTTTAATAATGAACATTCTTGACGATATTTCTTCAAATTTTCTATCCACATATCATACGTAGTTTTCAAAGAATTGTATATCAATTCTAAACTTTGAATTCGATTATAAATAGCATTATCTAGTTGAGCATTTTGATAAGTTCGTAAATCGGTTAACATAGAACTAGCTTGTACTGAAAAGAAATTTCAAAAATATATTTAATTATTAATCGAAACATTTATTCTTACTTCCTTGAAGATGTACTTCATAATGTACGTCTCGTAATTGATAATCAGGATGGCCACCTAATTCTAATTTAGTAAAAATACGATAGATATTTTCAATAGTTTGTAATAATTTTAATTGTCCATTAATTAAAGCTTTTTTATAGACTAAATTTTGTTGAGCATCAACATTACAAAAAGTTAATTGCCGTTTATGATTATCAATATCTGACATTGATAATTGAAAAGGAATTCTTTTGGCTTCCATTCTATTGTTTTCTTCACCTTGTTGATTCCTATTATTTTCATCTCTTACTGTGTTTATTCCAACTTGAATACGATCAATTGAGTAACCGATTTTATAATAAGATTGTTCTCTTGTTAAATGTTGTAAATGAATATCAACAGTTCCACTTTTATATAAATGCTCCATAGTAATCAAAGCATTGTCTAGTACTGTTGTTTCTTCAGCTGATAACCACATCGTTATAAGTTGCATATTATCATTAGTCACTAGAAAATATAATGATTTCAGTAATATTTTCAAATTACATGAATTAAAAAGTTGATAGAAATAAGAAAAATAAGAGTAATTCGTCACTAACATCAATACTTCAGATAACTAGAGTCAATTTTCTCGTTTCTTTTAACCATTACCTATTCAAAAACTAATGAACATATCGATTTCTCAAGTAATTTGAGATCGGAAGCAGCTAATCACTTGCAGTTTTCAGCATTCAAAGCTGAAGACATGAAACCAGCAATTGTCCAATCAAACGACTTCTTGGTGGAGACTTCTCAATAAGGTATTTTGAAACTATTTTCTTTGGTATTCAGACTTTTAATAGAAACACTTGATAAAAATATATCCATCTGTTTCCATCTATAAAAGACTGATATTTCTAGTTCGTTTTGTTTGAGAATTATAAGGCCTTCTAACGTCAGTAATCACATTTGTTTAGCATGTGATTACTCTAAAAGATAGCTAGATATCGTTAATTTAATCACATTTAATCGAATGGTAATACATAAGTTTAGATTCGATATGATCTGATTCAGTGATCTGAATAGTTCTCAAATTTTGTAACTATAGTCTTCCATTATAACAAAGGAATTGATACTTCAAACCTAACAATAGATATCTCTATTCCACTCAACATATTGAATTAACTCTATTTTACTATTTTTTTAGAGTGTAACTACGTCATAGATCGCAAAAGAAGAATATTTTCTATCAATTAATTCTCTTAAAAATCTGAATCGAGAGGAAAGTAACTTTAGAATACTGTTGCCAACAATTTTCATAAAGAAATTTTCCAATTGTTGAATCCCCAACTGTTCAAATTTGAGAATATGTTGGTGATCTTGAGTCGTCTCTGTTCAATAGTGAAAATCACTGGTTATTAGATGTTTTCATTCTCAAACTACTTGAAAGATCATGCGTTTTTAGGACAAAAACTAATTTTTTTTTGAGGATTTTCTCTGCTATAAGTTCTTTTTATCTATTTGAAAGTTTCTCGAAAGTAAGAAAATCTTTGAAAACATCAGGAGAAAATTTCAGCTATCGGTTATAGTATTTTCTTCGATCTCTCCTTATGATGAAAACTCACCTTTGATATGACTCAATGAACTTTCTTCCAAATTTGTTATTTGAGCAAGACGAAGAACAAAATCATCAAAATTGTTTGCTTTAAACATAAATGGTTCAATTAATGTATAAGTTATAATCCATGAATTAAGTATCGTATTATTTAATTCTTGTAATTGAAATTGTGTCGTTAAATTATCTCGTAATTCTTGAAAACGACGTCGACCCTGTTGAGAATAAAGATCAGCTTTTTTCATCATGTGAATAATATTAGAACATTCAACTACTGTTTTAATTAATTGTAAATGTTGATGAGTTAATGTTTGAAAACAATCTTGTAAAATTTTATAAGCATTAGTTATATCTCTTAATGAACAATTTTCATTTCCACTCAAACGTTTTAAATGACCAATTTTTACTTCTTCATTATCCTTTGGTAAAATATCAAATTTTTCAATACATTCCATAATTATATTAAGATGACTATAATATTGGTAAATTTGTAACCATTCGCAGACTTGTTCAATATCTCTTTCATTTGGTTGAGTTCTTGGAACTTGTGCAACAGTAGTTGGCATATTGATTATATTATTATGTTGTTCATTTGAACGATTTATATACAATTTTTTAACTTCTTCTCGAATATTAATCATTTTATCTTTGAATATAGGTTGTAATTCTGTCATATCTCGTAAACCTATATCACCATTTAGAAGTTTATTTATAAAATGAAATACATGACCAAGTAATTTACTAAAATCAACTTCAGAAATATTTGGAGAATTTTGGTGATAACATTTATCAAATTGCATATTAAAGATACCTTGAAATAAATGACAAATTGATAAAGGATTAGATTTAATCCGATACCAAACTGTTCGAGGATTTGTATAATTTTTGTTATCAATAGTAATTAATAATTGACCATTACGTTGAGTTTCAAATTGACCATGAAGAACATTTTTATGAATAGAAACATTTCTTTTTTCATATAATGTTTCACATTGATTATTTGTTCCATAACTTCGATATTCAACAGTAATATCACATGGATGATTATCACTTGCTAATGACCATTGAACTTGTTGACGATCAATTATAGAAATAGTCAATTCATAAATTTTTCTAGCGTCTACTATAAATGTATTGTTTGGTTGAAAGCGTTTTAATTCTTTAAGAAAATTTATTGTATTCTCTTGCATATTTAATGTTCCTGCGTTAATAATTTGAAATGGAATTATACAATTGAATAGTTGACAAAGACGTTGAAGATCTTCGAATGGCTGTAAAAGTTTCAATGCAGAATCAATAGTTACTCTCATTTCAATCAATGTCATTTTGGGATCGTCACGAATTCTTGATAAATCACTTAATATTTGATTTGAACGATTAACATTATGAGTTTTTAACCAATCGATAATACGTTGAAAAATATCAATGAATCGATCAAACCAATTAAACCATTTATTTATTTGTTGAATAAAATTAGCAAAAAACTCTTTGTTGGATCTGATATTAATGATATCAATATCATTAGGTTTGGGTAAAGCAACAATATTATCGATATTTGCACTTGTTGATGGAAATTTATATTGTTGACGATCAGCTGTGCGGAATATACTATTCATATCGACCAATGGAACAAAACAATAGATAATCGAATCAGTTTGCAACTCAAGATATAATGTGCATTTACCTAATAAAAACTAACTTAATGAGAATTCATATGATTCAAATAGATTAAAAACTGTTATTAGTGGCTCATAATGATAGGGAATCACGATATAATCCGTCGGATAGGACTCATCGTTTTCCTTTAGATTCTTCATCTGAAAAATTTCCTTAGATTGGGCCTAATTTTATGTCTGAATCAGCAAGTTCTATTTTAAAAGTAAGAGATTTATATCGACGTTCTGAATTTTTTAGACTTAGACTTGTGAGCAATGCTGTAGGCATCAGAAAATTTGAAAGCCTTGCGAGAAGTCAAAAATGAAGAACACTCTGAGGTGTATCAGTCAAAGTTGATCTTAGCTAAATCCTCTGTGTCAAATGGTAACAGTCTGACAATTTTATTGCAGATATCACTCTTCAGGTGGTTATTTTCTGTAGCGGATGAATTTTACACTCATTTTCTAGATTTTCGGAGATTGTTATGTAAAAAATGGGAGTTTTTGATTTTTTTTGAATCAAATATGTCTAGAAATGCATCTTTTCTCTGAGTCGAATGAGAAATGCACTTTTGAACCTTGTGGTCGGTTTTCCTAGCTTAACAACATCCTCAGACGTAGTCATGGAATTTCTAAAATTTCTCCAATAATGAAATTTCACTCGTACATGCAACACGTTCGTTTCTGTGGTTTTCGCTTTTGGTCAATATGATTTGATCCAGAAGATTAATTTGAAATATTTTTAATAATATTTATAGCAGCTATAAGAGTCATTCTGTTTATTAAAATTCAGGACTCGTTTTCTCAGTTCAATCTCAATTTATGAAACACGAAAATACCCGAAATTGTGGTGGTAGATGTACTCATAAAGATCAGCTATATGGTAGATTTGAAGAATCGTATGATTCCATCTGAGATTGATGCAAAATTGAAAAATTAGAAAATATTTACCAAAAAAAACAATTGTCCTCCTGCACATGGGAATGTTAAAGACCTGAAAATTTCACTCTTAGAAAGAGAACAGCTCGAAAATTCTAGAATACTAAGAAAACTTGATTCTTTACTTGAACATTTAAAGGACACTTGTGCTCAAAAAATGGAACACAAAAGAAGAAAGCTAATTGCTACAAAAGATAGATGACCTGAACAAGTAGTATTTATGATAAGATTTTCGGATATTGATCATTTGCAAAAGAAGTGATAGTTAAAACATAGTCTGACTGGGAGAGTCAGCATCGTCCCATATTTAGACTCTTCACAAGTGTTGCAAATTTTCTTGAGTTGTACGGTTTTCTTTACCTGTCCATGTACTATAGACAAATAAAAATGATGTGAACCCTGTTACGTTTTCAGAAGAGTTTCCCAACAGTCAATATGTCTACATTCTAATAGGAGCTCTATGAGGTTTATGTGACAAATGATGACAGCTTCATTGGAGGTATTATATGAGTGAATCAGGTTCGAATTTATTATTGTAGGGCCCGATGAGCTCTAATCGACCAGTAGCGCTTCAAAGCAAAATATTCTCAAACCTTGCTACACCGATTCGTAGGTGATCACTACTTCATTAAAGTCAATGTTCGTCTTCCTTATTCTCAATCTTGAAAGGATCAGTATGCAAAGGGATATTGTTAAATGATATTAAGTGTTGCGTTTTGTGCTGCTCACTGCCATAGCTGACTAGATATATGTCAAATGATAAAAATCGAATTGTAGGAATCTGAACGACGGATAATTTCTCTGAGAGAAAAATCTAAGGAATCTGACGGACATTAAACAAAGGAAAAAATATAGATAAAACAATCGATAAAGATCTTTATATTGAAATGAACTTACTCTTTAAGTGAAGAATTTCATGAAGGATCTCTTTGCCATTGTCGATAAAATTGCTAATTCCTTGAACATCTATATATACAGATGTATTGTCACGCATAGCTATGATATAATTCATAACGATGTCAATGTTGGGTAACATTAAGATTGTTCTGGAATATTTCACAAGTACTAATTCAAATAATTTTTCAAGTAAAATAATTGTGAAAATATCTGTTGGGTCATAAATATCACGTTTAACGCTTTTCATCCATTCATTAATTTTGCTGAGAATTTCAATATGATTATTATTTGTCATTTTTGAAAGACTCAAATGTACGATATTTGACCATACATATAGAGTCCAAGGATTGTTCTTATGATTCTCACATAAATAGTTATAAGTTCCTTTATCTAATTTTAACCATATTGAAATATTAGTAATTAGAAAATCTTTTAGCCACTCATTATTAATGATTCTCTCAGGAGCATATTTTTCACATAATTTCTCATCGAAATGTTTCAAGTTTTGAAATAGAGTTTTAAGTTTTTGTGCGTTGGGTGTCTGAAGACTTTCAGCTTCAAAGAGACTTTTACGAACAAGTAGTAAAAAGGAACGTCTTTCTGAAAGGTCATTGCAGAATATTTCCTGACTGGCTTGTAAAAATTCTGTGCAATTGATTCGGGAAAGTTGATACGAATATTGAGGATCACTGATCCGTTTAATAATATAAGCATCAAATATGTTCTCGAATAAATCGATGAAATGTGATCGAAATTCAGGCTTAATTGCTTCTAAACATTTTTTGGCTGATTTTATATATTGATGAAATTTTTCTATATAACATGAGAACATTTTTTCCTTCAATATTGGAAGTAGATATTTTTGCACAACATTATCGATAGCATTAATTTTATATAAATGTAGAAACATATTCCAAAGATCATCTGTGTGTACATTTGACGAATAATGATGGAAATATTTGCTAAATAGTTGATCTTGTGATTTGAGCCATGTAAATAATTCGGCAAGATCTTTCATTTCATACCATCCGTTTTTCATGCCGTGAATGAATATCGGCATATATTCTTCAAAAAATAGTGTTATGTTGAGGTTCAACGCTTTATTCAATTGAGCAAGAATGTTAAATGGTGATTTGTTCTTTTGTTTTGGAGGATGCAATCGCGCAGTAAGAAGAATAAGCACTGGTGTATCAAATGGAAATTGTTTAAATGCTTCTTGATATTTTACATACTCTTGAATAAATTGATGTAAAGTTAAGTTCTTTATTTTTATTTTTAATAATATGTCTGTCCATTGAAGCTGATAACGACTATCATTTATAAATCTTGAGGCTTGCATTGATAGTTTACTTAAAACAAAGAACTTAAGCAATGTGCCTTGGTCCTCAATATTGTTAATGGATGATAGATGTTGAGGAATATCCATTTTCAATAATTGGTTCTTGTCTTCTACAATGAGATTCGGCTGTTGACCTTTTGTCTTTTCAAACATAGAGACCAATAATTGAAACAAATGTTGTTTGAGTTGTTGTAGTGGTTTGTAATCTGCCTTTGCTTGATAACTGTATTCATGCATTTGACGATAAATATATAGATAAGCATCTATGCGTTTTGCTGCACGAGTAGAATGTTTATTTGATGTTAAATCATCAATTGTACATTGTATAATATGATCCACATCATTCGAAGATATTTGCTTTTGTCTTTGATTAAACTTTTCAAAATTCAGTAAACGTGAAAAAACTGAATTAAAAAAGTCCAATTCAACATCCTTCGAATCGAATACTTTTCCAAAAAGAGTGGCAGACTCAGATGGAGGTGTTTTACTCTTTGATCCACCCCACAAGTAACTGGACATATTTAGAAACGTTAAGATTAAGATCTACTGAATACGCAAATCTACAACTGAATAAAAATAAAAGAAACTGTTCGTCCACGACAAAGTTGTCTATGGATAAATTATTTTGTGAAATATTCTATGAATGTAATTATCTTACCATGTATTCTCTCACTTGATATAACAAAGATTAAGCTGATTGATGGAAATTTAGTGAATGACGACTGATTATGTATTTGTTTCTCTCAGTGTATGAGACGATAAAAATAAATCAAAAAAGGTAAAACACCGAATAAATTCCAAAATATACAAACCACACCTTCTAACGCGTTTGAACTTTCAAACAACTTGTTAATAGTTAAAAATTCTAAGCCACTAATAGTTACTAGTGAAAATATATTCCAATCGTCTGAAAAGCAAGGGGATAAGTGCAGGCATCCAGCACCCTGGTACCTCAGCACCTGTTCAGCACCTCAGCATTTGTTCAGCTCTTTCGGCACCTAGTCAGCACCTACAGCACCTGCTCGACACCTTTATCGAATTTACTATGAGCACCTTCAACCATTTTTCCACTATCTTAAGTACTTTTTCAGTACCTTGGGATAAAATTTAGTGCCTAGGCTCTGCCCTTTAAATTTTCTCGCAAGGTGCTAAAAAAGTGCTTAAGATAGTGAAAAAATGGTTGAAGGTGTTGAAGGTGCTCATAGTAAATTCGATAAAGGTGCCGAACAGGTGCTGAATAGGTGTCGAAGGGGTGGAACAGGTGCTGACTAGGTGCCGAATGGGTCGAACAGGTGCTGACTAGATGTCGAAGGTGCCGAACAGGTGCTGAGCAGATGCTGAGGTGCTAGGATACTGTGTGACTGCAATTTTCCCTTTGATGAAAAGTCTCTTGTAACTAATTTAATTTTTCTACTTGGTCAGTATCCTGTTCTCTGAAAGTAACAACGACGAAATGCAGATTGCAGAATTTCGGTTAGGTTTGTTTCGGCGAAGTATCATTTTGGTGACGTGACTATTAGCAATCTGTCTGTTTAGCAATGTCATTGTTGAAGATGTGACTATCGACGATCTGTATGCCGATGGGTGAAACTATCCAAAATATTCTTACATGATATTTATGCTAGTGAGAATTTCTATTCCTATGGCTGTTTATACTCATTGTGCTTCACACTAACCAAGATGCATCAAATAATTAACGAAATTAATGGTGTAAATGAATCAGTTTCTAACTTGCTATAGGAGGCCAATCAAGTTACTTCCAAAGTTGGGTGTGGGCGTGGGTGGG